TTGCCTCATCTGATGTTTTTTTCTCTCTTCTTCAATAATCTCATCTCATCATCTTAAATCCCTTAACCCTTCCCCCCTCCCCTCCACTCCCTTCCTCAGGAGAGAAGCAGTACTCATATGAAGAGTTTCTCGCCATCTACAAACAGACCAAGAACGTGAAGGAATGGGGAACGTTCAGGGACTTCGAGGAGGCTTTCAAGTCCTTCGACAGGGAGGGCCAGGGGTACATCAGCGCTGCTGAGATGAGGCATTTGTTGACTGCCATGGGTCAGTTGTTAAAAGTTTTAGTTTTAGTAGAGGTTTTACTGCACTCGCAACTGTATAAGGTCATATTAGCGCCAAGGGGTGGATGTCAACAGAGAAGTCCTTACAGGGAATCAGACCTACTCTGCTCACATCTCTAGCTTCAACAGCACAAAATCTGCTTCGACTATCAAGACACCCCGGAAATAGCGGGTCACAAGAGTGTGACAAACATACAAAATTAGTAAAAATTAGGAAAGAAAAAGCAGCAATTCCCTGTTGAGGTTCAGACACAGTTTAAAGCGTGACATTGATGAATCAGCCCATTTACAATTACAATTTATTTTTTTACTATGCATAAGAACATGGTAAATGTCCCCGTGGCGTGTGCCATGAGTCAGTGTTGATAATAATATTATGACGATGAAAAAATGGGAAGGGGTTTTTTGTTTCATTTAATTTTTTTTTGGGGGGGGGTTAGTTTTTTGTAGTGTGTACCTCTCATGAGTGAGATAAATTACTAAAATGATGATTATTTATGAATGATGATGATGATGATGTTTAGGTTTTCTCTCAGTTGCTCCTGAGGAAGCCCACGAGGCGAAACGTTGAGCTGTGTCTATTAAACAAGTTTCAAACATTTTAGATTTTATATTATTTTGTCTGAAGTTCATACAAGTCTCTCCCTTCTACTCTACTTTCCAAACAATGATGATGATGATGATGATGATGATGATGATGATGATGATGATGATGATGAT